GAACCTCCCAGCCTCCCAGGGGAGAGGCTGAGCCATGTGGGTGGTTGCAAAAGGCGGTTCTGGAGCCAGCCACGTGGCAGCCTGTTGTCCAGCACTTCAGCTCCACTCACGCCTGGCCTCCGGCTGAGGATGTGGTGAGAGGAAGCTTTGATATGAAGTGACACTGAGTGGCACTGATAAGGCTTCCTGAACTAAACACTGGTTCTGCCGGGCCCTTTCTCCCTCCCTCCCTCTGCTAGCTAGGGGTGTCTAGCCGGGCTTCTTCTGTCACATGAACAAAGGCTCTTCTTTGTTTATTACAAAGTGAGGCACCTATGGTTAAGTGCAGGACAAATGTAAATGATGCTGGTGGTCTGAGGCCTGCCCCACCCCCTCAGCCTCCGTGTAACCTTGAGGAGGCTGTGAACAGGCCTGTGCCACCCTGCCCTCCTCCTCTTTCAGCTCTTTCTCGTCCTTCCAAACCCAGCTCAGTTGTCCCATATTCCCTGAGTCCTGCTAGGTGAGGCCCATCCTGGACACTTACTGCCTGCCCTGTTTCCCCCCCCCCCGCCGTCCATCTGTGAGCTGGGCACAGGGAGTGCCCACTCTTGGTGTGTTAAATGGGTGGGATGTGGACCCTATCAGAGTAGAGGGTGGTGTGTGTGTGTGTGTGTGTGTGTGTGTATGTGTGTGTAGTTTGTGCGCATGTGTATGCATGTGCATGACTCACAGGTGAGTCTCCTGACGGATGGCACTGGTAGGGATGGAGAGAACAACCTTGTATCCCTGGGATGCAGACAGATACCGAGGTGACCAAGCAGCATTAAGGTGTCCTGGGTGTAAGGGCTGGTCAGAAAGGCCTCCTCTTCTGGTGGCTAGGGTGTGGCAGGGCTCCCACTCATGGAAGGAAGAATTAGAAGCTGTACTGAGAAAGGTAATGGGGAATTGTCCCTGACCTGGGACAGGCAGTGTCCAGTGGTCCCCCCCCCCATCCCCACCCAGGCACTGGAAACTCCTTGAAGATGGGGCCTTGTGCCCTCGTCTCTTGTCTCCAAGAAGGGGTGAGTGCAGGGAGGGCTGAACAGGGCTGCTTCTCTGGGCCTTGGCTGTGCTGCATGTTCGGTCTTATCTTGCTTCAAAGTTCCGCACTTCAGGGGCTGAGTGCCTTCTGTCTAAAACACAGAAGGAGACTGAGGCTGAGAGAGGGGTAGGTATTTTGTTCACGGTCACATGGGTGCTCTTGAAGCTCCTGGCTCAATGTGCCAAAAACCAGTGAAAATATCTTGTGTGTCTGTCTTGTGTCTAGCCTTTGTGGAAGCTGAGGACCCAGAGATAATGGGGATGCTGTCCCTGACCACTAGCTGTTCATATAGGCAGGGCAGAGGCATGAGATGGACACTCAGGCACATCACACAGCAAAAAGGAAGGTGGGTGCAGGCCCACAGTGGCTCAGGGTATTTTTGGGGACGAGAGAAGTCAGGGACCATTTCACAGAGGAACCTTGTCATCTGAGCAAGGTTTTAAAGGGTGCGTAGGAGTTGACCGTGTGCACATCTAGGGTGTGTGGGTGATCTTGGGTTTCAGTCTGTCTGGACCTGGTGTGAGGGATGGGGGTCTTAGACCCAGCTTCCAGTAGTGTGAGGCTGCCCTGCGGGCATTTAAGGGACTTGGTGTTTTTGAGTATGGTGGGCTAGGCCCTGCCAGGGGTTTTACAGACATGATCCTTGCAATCTGGGAGGTGAGTGTGGATAGTTTCTTGATTTTGCAGATGAGGCACTTGAGTGCTGATTTTTTTTTGGCTCATGGAGATTTTGCTTTGGTTTTCTCCTCTCACCCCAGGGTCAGTCCCTGGCACCCATCTGCGTTTGCCCAGCTATGTCCTGTAGCACCCTCATATCCACCCCTGCCCTCCTGCCCGCCGTTCTCATCCTCTTTCCATCCTCGGTGACCTGTGGGGGCCTTGAGAGGTTTGACTATTGTCTGTGATGTGCCTCATCTCTTCAGTCTCCCCCGTCTGATCTCTGCCCTGGCTACCACAGCCCCATGTGCTTCCCTCTGTCTCCGACTGGGATGCTGCTCCAGCAGAGATTCCCAAGGCTGGCAGAGAGAGATGGCCAGTGCCCAGTGAGAGCACTGGCTTCCTAGGTTGGGCCAGGGAAGATGTAGCAAGGCAGTGACCACCTTGCAAAGTCTGGTCAAGGTGGGTAAGGTGTTGGCTTGGGCCCTGGGTGGGCAAAGCTGGCATTCCAGGAAGTGTGGCCCACCTTGGTACCTTCAAAGGGAAGATGTGCCAGAGGACATGGTGCGTGGTGATCCGCTGGCCTTGGGCAGCTGCTGGGCTGGCCTCCTGTCCTAGGGCTCCCTGTCCTGTTGAGAGCCACAGCCGAAGGGGCCCCAGCAAACTTCCAGCTGCCAGCAAACTTCCAGCTGCTGGCTGATGATTGGCTCACAGCGGCCCCAGCAACATCTAGCTGATTGGCTCCTCGGCCCCAGCAACATCTAGCTGATTGGCTCCTCTGCGGTGATGCTCATTGGGCTGTTTCCCTGCCCTTTCAGACCACGGAGCTGCTCATTGGGGGACTTTTTTGGCTCCGCCCACGTGACCCAGCCAATCGGCCTCAAGAGCAGGAGGATTGTGGGAGGTGGAGAGAAGCTTGTGTGGGAGAGAGAGGCTTGTGGAAAGCCGGTGGTGGCAGTTGAGGCTCTGAGGGTTTTTCCTGAGAGGCTGTTTTGTTTGGCGTGTGTGGTTCTAAAAATAAAGTTAGTTTCTTTTGACAAGTGGCTCCTGATTGTGCCCAGCCAGACTGCGGCACTGTCCTTCTTGCCTCTTTATTTTTCTTCCCCTGCTATGATATCTTTCTCCCTCTCAGTGAGCTCTGGGGTTGGAGGAAGCATGGCCATGGGAGGGAGGGAAGTATCGGAGAACCTGCTGGCTCTCTGGTCAGGGCTTCCTGTCGGCCTCCTGATGCAGTTCCTGCCTTTTCCCAAATCCTTCCTCTCTCCTGGCCTTGGGTCTCCCTCTTTGCCCTAACCTTCCCACCTTACCTCTGGCCTCTGCTTCTTCTCCCAGACGTAGCCAAAGAGCAACAACTGTGAATGACCGGGGTGGGGGTGGGGGGAGTTGGCCTCTGAGGTTTCCAGCTAAAGTAGAGCATGGGGTCGTGTGTATGTGTGGATGTATAGGTGTGAGAGTGTGTGTGTGACCGTAAGGACAGGGGTGGGCCGGCATTGCCTGTGGGTTATGAAGGAGGAAGCAGTGTGGCTGGAGCAGGTCACTCCTAACAGTCCGTTCCGATTGGGCGCTGATTCCAAGTGACCTCAGACTTGACCTGGCCACCTCTGCCTGGGATGCTTACCTGCCAGCTCAGGGCTCTCTGTGCTCCCTGTGGTGGTCATGGCCCTTGAGCCCAGGCAGTGGACTCATGCGGAGACGTGGGGCTGCCCTGCTCCTGCTCCCCTCCCTTGCCAGCCGCCAGGTCGGGGTGGAGCTCCCAGGGAGGAAGTGTGTGATGAGCAACACCTGGCTACTCACTCTGTTTCTGAAGCCTCCCTCCTGGTGTGATCCCTCCAGCAAGCCTGTCCGAGGCTCTTGGCTGATGGTGGAGCCTGGATGGAGGGTGGGGAGGCTGTAAGGCCCAAGGGACTGTCTTCCTATCTTCATCCATTCTGTGTTGCTATAACAGAAAACTCCAGCTGGATGATTTATAAAGAGAATGTCTTAGTCAGCTTTCCATTATCCTAAGAAATATCTGAGATAATCTACTTAAAAAAGAGGAAAGTTTTATTTTGGATCATAGTTTTGAAGATTTCAAGCTGTGGTCACTTGACCTGTTGCTTTTGTGTCTACAGCAAGATGGCACATCATGGTGGTGTGGCAATCTGCTGGACTTGTGGCAGCAGGGAGGCAAAGAGAGAGAACAGGAGGGGCCAGGGTCCCAATACCCCTTTCAAGGGCAGTGACTTCCAACTAGGCCCCACCTTGTAAAAGTTCCACTGCCTCCCAACAGTGTACTGGCTGGGGACCAAGCCTTGAACACAGGGCCTTGGGGCATACTATTTAAATCATAGTAGAAAAGAAACTTATTTCTTATACTTCTGGAGACAGGAGGTCCGAGATTGATTGAAGGTCTCCTGGGGAGACCTTCTTGGCAATCATAAGATGGCAGAAGATATCACATGACAAGAGAGTGGGCATGAGAGGAACCAAGTAGCTTTTATGGTTGGCTCTCTGTATCCACAGGTTCTGCTCCAACCAATTGTGGATTGAAAACATTTGGGGAAAAAAATTCCAGAGTTCCAACAAGCAAAACTTGAATTTGCCATGCATTGATGGAATCCATATGAATGAAGCAATGTGTGGGTGCTCCCTCCTGTATCCGCCCACCATTCCAGAGACTCTGTCTCTCCAGCTCCTTGAGCATCGTATGCTTCTTGTCTTGTGCCTGGTTCTTGTACCGGGTAGCTAGGCCCACAGTGGTTGTGTTTGTATTGAACGCGTGCAGACTATTTTTCTTGTCATTATTTCCTATACAACACAGTAGAACAACTTCTTACATAGCATTTGCATTGTATTATGTTCTCTAAGTAAACTAGAGTTGGCTTAAAGTCTGTGGGATGACGTGTGTAGGTTATGTGCAAATACCAGGCCGTTATTCTATAACCTACTTGAACATCCACAGATTTTGTTATCCCAGGATATCAGCAATATAACAAAACCAGACTCTTGAAAACTAACCCATTCTCTTGATAATGACATTAATGCCTTCATGAGGTTCTGCCCTTACCTACCATTAGGCCCCATCTTCCAACATCGCTGCATTGAGGATTAAGCTTCCAGCACAGGAACTACGAGGGACAGGTTCAGCTCATAGCAGCTGGGAGATCTCTTGATGGTCCCAGCGCCTGGGCTGGGTGATATGGTCCGCAGGCCCCCTCATTCTCATCTATGGTCTTGGCACATCAGCACCCTTGTTTTGGCTATTCTGCTTCTCATGATAACACTCTTCTCTCTGTCTCGGCAGGTCCTTCAGAAACTGGGGAAGGCAGATGAGACCAAGGATGAGCAGTTTGAACAGTGCGTCCAGAATTTCAACAAGCAGCTGGTGAGTGTAGTGACCCTTGGCCTTGGGGAGCTCATGGGAATTGAACTGTGGCTTCCATGTGGAAAATGGGAAGGACCAGATCTGTGGAGTAAGAGGGATTGGAGGGGGATCAGTGTGGGCTGGTGGTGTCACCAAAGACCTGGAGGAGAGGGCACTGGCACTGGCTAGGAACACTGGAAAAGAAGAGGGTCAGGGGATACTTTAGAGAGAGTGATGGGGGAAGGGGAGGGTAGGTGGGAGTGGGCACTGGCTGGTGGCCAGACTCTGGAAGAGCTTGCATGCCAAGGCAAGTGGGAGCTACAGAAGCTTCATGCCAGGAGAGTGGCATCTGCAGGATTTAGTGTGGGGGCAGAGCAAGCTGGATTTGATTTGGGCATCTGCTGAACATGATGGGTGCTGGGCTGAGTAACAGGCTCCAGGCTGGGTTCTGTGGATGATGGTTGATGCCTACAAACAACCCCAGGTGGCCTGTACCAACAGTTACCTTGTGTAGATGGAGCAGCTGAGGTTCTAGAAGTGAGGTGATTCATTCAAGGCCAACCAGTTTGGGAAGTGGATGCAGACCCCTACTTATCTGCTTATAAAACCATGAGGGGGTTTCCAGGGCATCCTTACTAAGGACCATTCCAGGCTAGAGGCCAGTGACCGAAAGAGGTTTAATCACACTTGGCAGTATGGGGCAGTGGTTAGATATGAGGGAGGACTCCCCTACTGAAGGGAAAACTCTGAATATCCTGACTAGGCTGTCCTTGAAACTCCCTGCTGGAGATTTGCTAAGTCCAGAAAAAGGGGGAGTGAGATGAGCCTGTCAATTCTTCTTTCCCTGGGGAAGAACAAGGTAGCAGGAAGGGAGGGAGATCTGGGCCATGACTTTATGGCTTCAGAAGGGCAGATAGAGATCTAAGGGACAGATAGAGGTGGTGGCCAGTGGAATGGGACTGGGCATTGGGAGTGAGGTCAGGATCTAAGCTCTGCTAAGAGTGGGGTTGGGTGGGCACAGACTCTTGATACTTCTTGTCCATGGCTGTGGTCTTTGACGGTTCCTATCAAAGCCTCTGTAGCTGGAATGAAGCCCAGGGAAGGGGTCTCCTTTGGAGACTACTGACAGCTCACTGACCAAGGGCTAGGAGCATTCCAGAGTGACAGAGAACAGCTGAGACAGGGCTGGGAGCTTTCTGGGACAGGGCCAAGGAGCATACTGGGAGAGGGCCAGGGAGCATGCTGGGAAAGGGGCCTGGAGCATGCTGGGAGAGGGCCAGGGATCATGCTGAGAAGGGGGCATGGAGCATGCTGGGAGAGGGGGCCTGGAGCATGCTGGGAGAAGGCCAGGAAGCATGCTGGGAGAGGGCCAGAAAGCATGCTGGGAAAGGGATTCTGGAGCATGCTGGGAGAGGGGGCCAGGGAGCATACTGGGAGAGGGCCTGGGAGCATGCTGGGAGAGGGGTTCTGGAGCATGCTGGGAGAGAGCTGATAGCATTCTGGGAGAGGACTAGGGAGCAAGCTAGGTGAGGCTGCAGAGCCAAGCTACCCTGGTCTGCCAGAAAGGCTGAGCCCAAGAGGCTCCCAGAGCAGGGATGGGAGCCATCATATCTGCTTGTCCCCCAGACCAGAAATTACAGGTGTTTTAAGACCCTTGTGGATCCCACAACAGGCCACATCTACTGTGTTAAGTTTCCTCAAATAAAATAAAGGCTTGAACAAAGAAATCTAAAGCCTCAGTTCTGATTCAGTCTCTTGGAAGCTCCAGATATGTCCCCTTCTTAGCTGTTTTCCTCAGTTTGTGGGCAGCTCGGAAGTCCTTCTAGGGATTGCTGCTACTTGGATACTTACTATGGGCCATGAGATGTTGTGTCTTTTGTAGACATTTCCTTGCAGCCCTTGAAATGGGCGCCAATATTCTCTTCATTTTGCAAATGTAGCACTTGAAACTCAGATAGGTTAAGCAAACTTTTTCAGGCCCACACTACTGGTTTGGGGACTTGGGGATTTCAATCCAGACCCGGGACCCTTGAATTTACTCTTGAGTTTCTTCTCTGGAGCTGACCCCTAGTCCTGAATGCAGGTGGCTGGGTGGGTTGGTGGGAAAGCTGTAGTCCCAGAGAGGGCATGGTAGTGTCTCCCCAGAGCAGACTGGACTGTTTGGTGGAGGTGAGGAAAGAAAGCATAGATGTGGAAGCTGAGGTTCCCATGGCCTGCCTCTAGAGCTGAAGCCACAGCATTGCTCTCCCTACTCCTCCCTTAGAGTGACCCCTTTTGAGTCCCTGGTCCTGGACAAATAACCACTCGCTGATCCTTGGGCAGAGGTACTGGGTAGAGATGCCAGGGCTAAAGATAGCCAGTGCTGGTGGCTTCCTGGCTGTGGGCTTAGAATGGTCACCTGAGCTGGTGCTTTTGTCTGCCCCAGGTTTGGTGGGGTGACTGACTTATTCGGGGCCGGGGGCGATAGTGGTGGTGGACAGTTTTGAAGTCTCATTCAAGTGTTGGGATAACCCTCCTGTGGTAGTCAGCTTTTTTGTTGCTCCGACCAAAATACCTGACAAGAACAACTAGAGGAAAGATTTATTGTTTGCTCACGGTTTCAGAGAGTTCAGTTCGTGGCTGGCTGGCTCCATTGCTTTGGGTTTGAAGTGAGGCAGAACATCATGGCAGAAGGGTGTGGTGGAGGAAGGTGCTCAGACCATGGCAGCTGGGAAGCAGAAAGAGAGAAAGACAGGAAGGAACCAAGGATAAGATAGAGTCACCAAGGCACACCCCCAGTGACCTGCTTCCTTCAGCAATGCTCCACCTGCTGTAGGTTGAAGATACTGTTCTGCCGTATTATGTTTTCTCATGTTTCCCGCCATAGTCTGTTTAGCTGTTGGTAGATGAATCCACTGATGAGGTCAGAGTCCTCATAGTTCACTCGCTTCCCTAAAGCCCTACTACGGGACATTGCCGCATTGGGGACCACGTCTTCGGTACATGAGCTTTTGGGTGACATGCCAGATCCAAACTGTAATACCTTCCTTGAAGGTTATGGCACCCTGTCAGTTCTGGATCTGACTGGTATATGCAGATGTCTGGGGTGTGGCGTGAGTGTTGGGGTTGGGACCGGTGTGAGGGTCACTGCCCTTGAGAGAGGAAATGAGGGAGCTGCTGTGGATTTGGCCTCAGCCAACCTACAGGGCTTGGTGGTGGTGGGGGGGGTGCCCAGGAAATGCAAGATGGAGACAGTGTAGAAAGCCTGGAGACTCTCCTGCCTCTTTACCCGTGTGCCCCAGTATCACTAGGCCCAGCATTAGGGGTGGACAAGGGTAGCAGAGAATTTAGTCTCCAGGGAAGAAAATTTTTCCTGTGAGGGCAAAGCCTTGGAGAGGGTGTTGCTCACGTTTCCATCACCTGCTCTCATAATGAGTCCCTCTGGGCCCGTTTGGTGCTGGTCATAGGCCCTTGTCTTCTGGCCCTACACTGAGGGACCATAGGGGCCTACTTGGCCCCCTTACTTCTAGAGCATTGCACATCACGCCCTCTGGAAACCATCTTGGCTTCTGAAGGTTGGCCAAGCTCTGCTTCTTAGGGTCCCCTTGCAGCTTGTAGGACCCAAGACCCTCTGAAGTGGGGCAGGTCTGGTTTCTTTTTTAACCTAGGGCCCACCTGGGTTCTGCTCACAGTGGGCAGCCCTGGCTATTGAGTGAAGACTGATCCCTGAGCATTGAATGGTGAGGGGCAAGAATCAGAGCTGGAGCCAGAGGGGTCCTTGTGGCAGGGGGCCATCCTTGTCCTCCAGACCTTCCAGGAAGCTGGGTTCTTGAGTCTGCAGGAGCTTGGGGATGATGGCTGAGCCATCCCTTTCTGGCACTGCCTCAGCTCCTTATTAACTCCCATAGGCCAAGTTGGGCAGTGGCCCCAGAATCTTCTCCTTCTCCAGCTGGGCTCTGCAAAGAGTGTGCTTAGAACCCAAGAAGCTTCCAAAAAATTATTTCCCAGGCATCCTGTTTAGGAGACTGAGGGAGCCAGTTTAGAAGTGAGCACACACGGTTCTGATTGGTCCAAGAGGGGCTGGCTTGGATGGGATCCAGGGTACAGGAAGGCATTGTTCACCTCGAGGACTGACTGCCGAGTGCGGCTTAGGGATCCAGCTGCACAGGAGAGGCAGAGCTCCGGGCAGCCCCTTGCACATCTGCAGACCACGTGCTTGCTTACAGCTCAGCGTTGTCCTGGAAGCACAAGAGGCCCTGGTACAGCCAGCAGCCCGGATTAGTGCAGCTGCCCACCCCATGGGGAACCCTTTGCTTGGGTGCTGTATAGAGGCAGGTGGGGATCAGGCCAGAGGTGCAGCTGGGTTGAGGTAGTCTTCGCAGGGAAAGAAGCCGGGTCTGGAAGATTCTATGATATCAGATGACACAATGGCATTGCATCATGAACACACTTGAATCCTCATCTCGCCCAACAAAGCATTTAATTGTTAGGTTAGGGAGGCAGTGTCAAGGGTGGATGGAGCTCTCCTCATCGGTCAGTCGGGCAGGGTGCACAACCCATCCTTGCTGGCATTCTAGAGAGATCTGAACATTCGTTTCTTCATTTGATTTTTAATCAGTAGCCTCACATTTAGGTTTGATCAGGGTTATGTACTATACAGTTGACCCTCCTTATCTGTGTGTTCTGGATTTGCAGATTCAGCTGATTGCAGATTGAAAATATTTTTGGGGGAAACCAATAAAAAGTAACAACACACCTACAAAAAAAAAAAAAAACCAGCACAAGTAAAAAGCAATGTAGTATAATGATTATTTACATAGCATTTACATGAGAGGTGTTATGAGTCATCTAGAGATGGTTTGAAGTGTACGAGAGGATGTGCCCAGGTTATATGCAGATATGATGCCATTTTACATAAGGGACTTGATCATCTGTGGATTTTGGTATCTGAAAAGGGGTTCTGGAGCCAATTCCCCATGCATTCCAAAGATCAACTGTTCTCTATGGGCAACCGAAGGAATTTTAGAGAGGCCTTTTTTTTATTATATAACATCTTATATGCTGTTCTCAGCCCCCCCCCCCCCGCCACATGGCCCCACTTTGATGTGAAAGCATTCATTGTAGTGAATAGGCAGATCCGTGTGTTCATGGGGGCCACATTGTCACCAGTTACTCACTCAGCAAACCGCCTGGCCTTGGAGGGTCTCCCTGGCTGTCCGAGTCTCTGTGTGACTCTGGGCAGGTCGCTGACCCTCTCTGCCTCCCTATGGGCAGCTGGTACACAGAGCTCTGTGTGCGTTGGGGAGGAAGGGCCGGCCTGAGCTGAGCCAGGGTGAGCCTGAGGAGGGAGGTGGGAAAGCCTACTTGCCCTCCTTGGACTGACCTGCCTGGGTGGAGAGCATCTTCAGGGTGACTGATCTCCTGGGACCATGGCTGGCTGCTGGGCCTGCGTCTCCCTAAGCCCTCTTAGGGTGAGGGTATCCAGAGCAAGGGTGTCTCTGAGTCTGGGATGGGCATCTGTAAGACCAGGAGGGTGCCTTTGTGTAACACAGGTCAGCCATAGCCATTACTGTTCTCCTTGTGTCCCTCCTCCCCAACCCCTACTCCTCCTCACATGTAGTCCATCTCCTGAGAGTGGTCTTCAAGGCCTCTGGAATCTGGTTCGTGGGAGCCACTTCCAGACCACCTTTGATGTGTCAGGCATGGTCATTCACCCAGGCTCAGGGAGGCCACTCACTTGGGCCTTACTGCCTGGCTCCAAAACCTGTATATGCTTTCCTTTCTTCCCATACTTCTTCTGGAACTTTCCATGTCTCATTGCTGGTCATCTCAGACCTCTTACCTGTTATTCACCCCTCTTTGTCCCAGAGTTCAGTGTCCCAGGCCCCTGATTTCTTTCTTTTCTTTTCTTTTTTTTGCAGAGGGAGTAGTACCAGGGATTGAACCCAGGGATGCTTAACCACTGAGCCATATCCACAGCCCTTTTTATATTTTATTTTGAGACAGGGTCTCCCTACGTTGTTTAGGACCTCGCTAAGTTGCTGAGGTGGGCTTTGACCTTGCAATCCTCCTGCCTCAGCCAGAGCCGCTGGGATCACAGGAGTGTGCCACTGTGCCCAGCCTGGCCCCTACTTTTTGTGGTATTGATGGTGCAGAAGGATGTAGAGCTGGTCTCACCCTCTGTGCTGGCCCTGCTGTCTCCGGAGGCCCTGTTCTCAGTTCAGGAGGCTCCACACTCTGCTCACTCGTGTTCTTCAGCCTTTTCCTCCTACATTCTATATTCTACATCCTCCCTTTCAGCTGGACCAGCGACTTTAGGGTCCTGGAAATGACCCCCCCCCCGCCCCCATTTGCACCCCTGCTGACACTGTCCCTTCTGGAGTTTTCCTGTCCTTGGACGTCTGTGGCCCTCTGCCATTAGACCCTCTGTCTTGTGAGGGCCCCCACTGGGGCCTCCTTCCCTGACACTGTGCTGTGGCAGCCCTCTCTTCTTGGGTCCTACCTGAGCTGGCACTACCACAGCTGGCTGTGACACTCTCCTGGCCTGGGCTCCTGTGCCTGTTGTCTGAGTGCAGTTTGGTCCTTCCATACCCAAATAACCTGCTGCATTCTGCTGTACTTCCGGCATGTCATCTGGTGCACAGGGACCCTGTCTTATAAAGTGTGCATGGTGGGGAGACAGGGTTTTCGAGGCAGGGATGATGCCAGGAGTGCAGTGCTCTTCAGTGTGAGCTTGTGGCTGTAGCTACTGTCCTCTGAGGTGGGTTCCATACTGGCCCACTGAGGGGTCAGCCGAGCAGCCTAGTTTATCATGTGAAAGAAGCAGGGAGGAGAGTTGGGGACAGAGGGTGCCCCAGGCCCTCACCTGGTTCTCATCTCTGTCCACAGACTGAGGGCACCCGGCTGCAGAAGGATCTCCGGACTTACCTGGCTTCAGTCAAAGGTGAGGGAAAGGCAGGGCAGATCTGGCAGTGAGGGGTGATGGGGGCAGAGCTGGGGACGGGATGGCAGGGCCACCTCTGCAATGGTAGTGGCTGTCACTGAGAGGCCACCCGCTTTTCTCTGCCCCTCAGCCATGCACGAAGCCTCCAAGAAGCTGAACGAGTGTCTACAGGAGGTGTATGAGCCCGACTGGCCCGGCAGGGACGAGGCCAATAAGATCGCCGAGGTGAGCATGGGACTGGTGACCTCAGCCCTTCCCGGAGTGCACTTCTAGCCTCAGCTCCTGTCCCCTAGCCTCACCCTCTGGGACAAGCTGTCTTGGTTCCCCAGTGTGCACACACTGTGTGCCCTTGGGCAAGCTGGCTGTCATTCTTCTGACACAGTCACCCTAGGGGTGAGATAATGGATTGTGGCAGTCTCTGTGTATTATGACTCATGACTTACAAAGTCTCCTTCACTGACTACACCTCCCTGTCATCCACGAGAAGCTGCAGGGCAGGAGTTGTTGCCTCTGTATTACAGATAGGGACACTGAGGCTCTGAGAATCCACTGAGTGCTTCAAGGTAGTGGGGCTGGGGCTGACCCCCAGGTCCTTGGGTGGGAAACGGGGATGGGTATGGCCTCATGCTTTACCTGTTTCAGAACAATGACCTGCTGTGGATGGACTACCACCAGAAACTGGTGGACCAGGCGCTGCTGACCATGGACACGTACTTGGGCCAGTTCCCTGACATCAAGGTGAGAGTCCTCTTGATGGATCTGACTTGTTCTAGTCTGGCATCCAGTGGAAGGGGAAGGAGGAGGAGACCCAGAGGTGCTGTCCAGGGCTGGCTCAGGCCACAGCCAACTCTGTCCTGTGGGTGACATTCGCCTGGCGTGGCATCTCATCCTTCTGGGGCTACTCCCTCTGTGGTCAGCCCACCACCTCACCTGCTCCACAGAACTGGCCCTTCCTGTACTTTGGGTCTGAGGGCTATGGGAGGAGCCCCATGGTGTGTTACCTGTGTGTGGCCAGGTTGCTGTGGAGTGACTCTGGGACTGACTGTAAGGTATGTGGAGTGTGAGGCCCAGGCGTGTGTTTATGTGGAAGGGTGTGTGTAGTGGTGAGTGTTGCCTGCTATCAGGGTCTGCTTGTCGGGCTGTATTTGTGTGATGACAAGGCCAGCTGCCTCCATCATGCTGGGTAAGTGCCAAGAGCTCTCGGTGCGCCATGTCCTGACTGAGGCAAAGGGGACCTGGGGTGCTGTGTTCATGAAGGCACAGGGGTCTGGCGCCCGGGAGGGTGACCATTATGCTGGGCTTTTGGTCCCTGGATGCGTGCGGGTGTCATGGTCATGCTGCCCTGGGAGCTGCCCCCGATGCCTCAGGCTTCCTGTCGCTGATTGGGGGTGCTTTGGGAGGGAGAAGAGGGGCCCAGCGGCATCTGTAAGGAGCCCAGTGCTAGGCCAAGAAGATTCTTGGCTTCCATATTACTGGCTGGTGTTTTAAAGAAAACATTTGAGGCAGAGAGGCAAGCCGCTGGAGGGGGTGAGTTCCTTCTTTCTGGAATGCTCCAGCACCCAGGGCTCCCGCAGGCCTGAGACAGGCTCTCGTGGGTGCCAGGCCCCGCTCAGCCCCTCCTCCTCTGCTTGCCCCCCAGTCACGCATTGCCAAGCGAGGGCGGAAATTGGTGGACTACGACAGCGCCCGGCACCACTATGAGTCCCTTCAAACTGCCAAAAAGAAAGATGAAGTCAAAATCGCCAAGGTAAGGGCTGGAGGAAGGGTCGGGGGAGTCTCAGGGAGGCAGGCAGATGGCGGGCGGGGGGGTGATAGTCCAGGGTCCCTGGGCTGGGGTGGGAATGGTGCTGGTCCAGGGCTGCAGAGAGGAAGGCCCTTCAGGGTGCCGGGGTGGGGGCTCACTTGTGGCTCCTCCCTGCCCTCGGCAGGCCCCTCTGCCCTTTCTGAGATTCTGAGGCCCGTTTCCAGAATGAGAATAGACCTAGCTTGGGTTTCAGTGGAATGGTGCCACCACCCTGCTTGGCGCAGGGTGGACTTCTGTCTTGGGATCTGACGTGACCCTGGGTTGGCTGGAACAAGCTGGTGGGCTGGTCACAGTTCCGGCCACCACTGGCCACTTGGTAAGGGGGTTGGGATGGTGGGATTCCTCCCACCCTGGGGCCAGACCCTGCTTGCTGAGCCCCTCTGCTCTGCTAACGACTCTCACTTTGCCTTTGCAGTTGGAGTTCACCCCCTCCTCGTGCCCCCCTCGGGCAGGTTCCTTTTTCTTGCTGCAGGGGCTGGCTCCCTGCAGGGGCTGGCTTGTCTGTCTGTGCATTTGGGGTGTGTGGGCTTAGTGTTTAACCTCTGTGTCTGTTTCTCTCTCCCCACCTCCCTCCTGTCTCTCCACTCTCCTTTGCCTTGACCTGCCTCCCTGCCCCCCCCCAGCCTGTCTCGCTGCTTGAGAAAGCCGCCCCCCAGTGGTGCCAAGGCAAACTGCAGGCTCATCTCGTAGCTCAAACTAACCTGCTCCGAAATCAGGTGACATTGGCTTCTAACCTTGCACGTGCTGGCGCCTTTCGGTGGTCTGTCGGTCTGTCATTCTGTCCTCTCACTGGGCACCTGCCTGCCCAGCGCCCAGAGCTTCCCTGGGCGGGTGGGGGAGGGCTCAGCCCCTTCCTGGGGTTGTGGGGTAGGGCTGGTCTCTGAGTTGGCGGAGGCTGAGCTGCAATCAGGCAGGGGACTCTCAGACACGTCTGGTTTAGAGAATACCTAAGGTCGAATGTCCAAGGTGGATAGAGGCAGAGGGGCTGCAGTCCACTGGAGATTCCTCTTTTGTCCCAGAGCTCCAGGAACTCAGGAATACCTTTGAACCACTTGTTGTTTCCCAGGGCTTCAGTGGGGAGGGAGGTGATATTAGGGCTCCTGTCCTGGTGTGAGCCGTCCTTCAAGTCTCACAGAACTCCACGGTTACCTGAATTGCCCAGGGAGACATATCTGAAGAAGATATGTCCAGAGAGGCCCAGTCTCCTGCCCTGGGTGCCAGAGCTGGCTAGTGGCATAGCTGGATCTCACCTGACTCAAGCTACTGGGTCCTTAACCTGGTCACTCTCTGGGGCTGCATTGGCTGGGCCCTGCCACAGCTAGCCCAGAACTGTGGGCCCCTGAGGTGACGGGAGGGGATGTGGAGAAGGCTCCCTAGTCTGACTGGGATGCTGAGACCTGGAAGTAGAGATCAGGGTCCTGGAGGGTTGGCCTTTTGAAGGTTTCTTGAGGACAGCTGCTCAGCATCACAGTGTTCCTGGGTGGCTTCCTGGAGGAGGCTCTTTGTACAAAACTCCTGGGTTATCCCACCACCCTGGTGATAGATACTTCCCTTTTCTCAGTGTCCTGTCCTTAGAATGGCCTGGTGTGACTGAGACCACTGGAGACAGTGCCCTGTGAGAGGAGGGCCACGTGATTTTCTGTCCAGTGAAACCTGTTATTTTTCAGGTCGGTGTAGATGAAGCCTGAACAAGACTCCAGAACCCTTCATTGTGTGTGTGTGTGTGTGTGTGTGTGTGTGTGTGTTATGGAGGCAGGTGACAGGCTTGACCTAGGAGGTTGGGTTTCTCTCTGGGCAGCTGCCCTATTTTTCCTGGGCCGCATCCTGATTTCATCATCTTCAACCCACATGTATCGAGTGCCTAAGATGTGGGAAGCTCTGGCTTGGTGTGGCTCGCTGCCCAATTTCTTACCTGACCTCTGCTGCCTGGTTTCTTTCAGGCCAAAGCTGGGGACTGACTTTGGAGGCACTGGGTGCTGATAGCCTCATTCTGAGGTTGGGGTCAGGTTGACCCTGGCTCTCTAGGGCCTGTGGAGATGGTTGGGGGCCTTGAAAAGACCTGAGTCTTCCTCAGTCACCTGGGGAGGTAGAGGAGAGAGGGGCTGAGGGAGGATTGGGGTTGCTGAGCCAGAGCCAGGGTTCCTGCATACTTTCCCCTGAAATAGGTGAAACCATTTTATTGGCCCCCTAGGAGGCCATGGGACCTGGGATGGGAGCCTTCCTGCTGCATTTGGGCTCCTGGGTGGGTGTGGCCGAAGATGCTGCTGGGTGGGGCCCCTGAGGCATGTGATCCCATCTTGGGACGCTGGGCTGCAGATGTTTTTCTTGCCCAAACTGGCTTTCCTACTTGTATCTACCCCCTGCTCTTCTCCCCCCTGACCTCAGCACTGGGGATTGAACCCAGAGGTGCTCTACCACTAAACAACATCCCAGCCCTTTTTAATTTTCTATTTTGATACAGGGTCTCCTATGTTGCCTAGGCTAGCCTCAAGCTTGCCATCCCTCTGCCTTAGCTTCCCAGGTGGCTGAGAGTACAGGGCCCCACCACAGTGCCCATCCTGGGTCCCATTTTTATTTGAGCATATCCTGCTTCTTCTTAGGTCTGTCTGAAAGTTGGAAATATGTTGGATTTGCTCACATGACCTGGGGGCTGCTGGCTGTCCGTGAGCTTGGAACTTGGAGCTTAGGGCTGCCCCACTTGTGGACTTGGCTTTGTGGAGGCAGGGGGGTCCTCTTGAGCTGTGCTCTTGGGAGCTGACCAGTTCCACGTGTCCCTGAGCTGGCTCTGAGGTGCTTTCTATACTTGCCATGGCCTCCTGAGGCCTTCCTGCATGACCTGGTGCTGATCTTGGATCTGTCCTTGACCTGTCAGCATATAAGGGAGCTCCAAGGGCCTGGAAGGCCTCCCCTAGCCATGGACAGTCTCCCCTGCCCCCCCCCCCAACTCTCTGCCAACCCCAGGTGCTACTTATGAACCAGAATATGAGGAATGTGACCTAAAGGGATTAAAAGACAGGCCCTGACATCTGGCAGCTCACTAATGGACCTGCCCTGTTCTTTGCAATGTGGCTGCTACCTGTGAACAGGGCCTGGTGCTCAGAGGGCCTCTGATTGAGGGATGGGTGTGTGTTTAGATGGATATTTTCCCCACTTCTGTTACACCTCTCAGTTTTATAAGGTGGATTTTAAATGGTCAGATAAGGAGTCCATGCTCACTCTTTCAAGTACCTGGAGGTATAGAAGCCATGGTGGTCCCTTCTTCAGCCCCACCCCATCACCAAATGGCTCTAGCTTAGGTATACTTGGGATAGGGGCTCACTAGGGCTGGTCCTGGTGCCTGAATCTGGGTGGAGCAACTGGCTGGGCTTGGGGAAATCCATGCTTTTGGCAAAGTGGTGTTAAGGCAGCTGGTTGCCTTTGCCAGGAGGTGGCCCCAGCCCCAGCCTCAGCCTGAGAATTGAGGCTGCTGGCAGAGGTTCCCCCTGGGTGGGACCTGCTACATTCCTGGGCTGTGACTCACACCCTGAATCTGAGTCACCTTCCTGAGTCACTGTTCCCAGCAGTGTCTCTCCAGAAGTGAACTAGCAGAGCCCCTTCCCCAGGCCTGGCCTGGATCTGACTTGCCTTTCTCTGGCTGGGTGATGGAACCTTGGCGCCACCCGCTGGCGGATGTCAGCCACCCGAGAGGCACGGGAAGGGGAGTGGGGACTGGCCAACCTGCCAGCAGCTTTAGCTTCCTTCTTCCTAGTCACCACCTCCCTCTGCCCGTCCCAGAGGTACCTGAGCAGCTGCTCCTAGTAGGTCACAGAAGAGAGAGGGGTTGGTGGGAAAGACTGTCCCAGGAAGGTAAAGGAAGGCTGGCCTTGGCTGGGCAGGAGCTGGCCCTGAGGAACAGGGAAGGAGCACTCAGGAGGGTCAGCAAGAGCAGCAGCCCAGGGAACTGAGTGTCAGGGCTGCCACTCAGCCCAAGGGCGTGCATATGGAGGCAGGCAGGACCCCACCTGGCCGGGTCTGAGGCTTGCCTCTGCACTCCTCCTGGGTAACTCTCTAGGCCCTTTGTCTCGAGCTTTCTTGTTGTGTGCTCCCTCACGCAGCCCCCACACTGGGTTACAGGGTTCCCCTTTTTTGTGTGGCTGCTCTGCCGGTTCAATTCCTAGAGCACCTCCCTCCATCCAGCCTGGACCGGGGTGTAGGGACCCTGAAAGGCTGCAGTGGGAGCCCCTGGATGAGTGTCCACATCCAGTCCACCCTCTGCCTTGCTTAGAGCCCCGGTCCCTGCATATTGGCAGGAGGTAGCAGTGGGACAGGCTGGCCTTGGGGATGGGGGTGGCCTGCCCTGGGCTGGCAGGGGCTGGCTGGGACAGAGGCCCAGAGAGAGGAATGACCTATCCTGCCCTCCAGGCCGAGGAGGAGCTCATCAAGGCTCAGAAGGTGTTTGAGGAGATGAATGTGGACCTCCAGGAGGAGCTCCCATCCCTGTGGAACAGGTGAGGCCAGGAGGGGTTCCTCATGCTGGCCTGGAGTGCCCAGCCTACGTGTCCATCTGGGGTGGCCCCTGCCCGCTCAGGGCTTGTCTCTGATGAGGGTGTGTGTGTTCACATGTGGACAAGCTGGCCACGTGGCTGTCTACTAACCGTGTTCTTCTTACCTCCGCCAGCCGAGTAGGTTTCTATGTCAATACATTTCAGAGCATCGCGGGCCTGGAGGAGAACTTCCACAAGGAGATGAGCAAGGTAGGCCCTGGGGACCCCTGTGGGCCTCAGGGCTTCTGGACCATGCTCCCTCCTGGTCTGACCATGGTGGTCATAGCCATGGATGGGGCCACCCAGGCTCCCCCTTGCCTTCCTGGCTTGGGTATACTAGCCCACTACCCTCTCTGGGTTGTGGGGAGGAACTGGTTGGTACCTGTTTTCAAGGGGCTCCCTCTGCTTATCCCAGATCCAGCCCTGGCCCCTTCCCCACATGCAGCCTGTTGTTGCCTGGTCGGAGAGGTTGGGGGACATGGATCAGCTGTCCTCGAACTGTAAACGTGTTCTCAGGCCACATTGGCTCATGGAGCTCAGTGTTAGGAAATGATGACGGTTTCCCAATTTATGGGGAAAAAATTGAGATGTTGAAATAGGCCCGCCTTATCTGCCAGATGTGAGAAGCAGTCTGGCCAGCTGATATTCCTACATTGTATTATTTCCATGACTGGACTGGCAATTGGAGTGCAAAGATGTTTAACTTTGCAGTTGGAAAAACCCAGTGTTGGCAGCTTCCCTGATCCATGCAATGGGTGGGTCTGACTTTTGTCTCTTGGGTCCAGAGGAATGAAGTGATTGAAGATGGTGGATTACAAGCCCAGGGCCAGTGGAGGAAAAGCCAGCTGGGGACCTTTCCCGACTTACAACCCTCAGTAGGGCTTCCTGCCTTTTCGGGTCTCTCATTCATTCCTATTTTTTCCTTCTTCCCTTCAAAGATTTGAGACAGCTTATGAAAAGTCTTGGGGAGGGGAATCTCTCTCTCTAAAGTTAGTCCATGGAAATAAAAAGCACAAGGCAGAATTGTGTGTAAGTAGGAGAAAAATTCAGCTCTGAGCTTCCTCGTCTCAGTAATGAGAACCGCAAGGTGCATGGGACAAATTGCCCCTCTTGCCTGTGCTTTGGTAAAATTCCTGGCAGTTATTGTCGGTCTGAAAGCATCTTGGCAAAACGACCTTGACCATTAGGATAAACAGTGATGGCAAAACCAAAAGTTGAAACAGTGCAAACTTCATATAGAATATTGGGGCATCCTTATAAGTAGTAAGAAGAGAAGAGATGATCCCCGCAAACAGTAACGGTTAGTAACAAGCCCATTCCCCTTTTCTCTTTTCCCTTGGTTTTTTGGGTTTGGTGTCCAGGTTCCCAACTCTCATCGATAGAGACAGAGGAGCTTGTTCCTGGCAGGGGCCGGGCTGGGAGAGGGAAAAGGAGGTGGTACTGGGGAGGTGTGGCTGTACGGGTGTGGAGCCCTCACCTGCTCAGTGTCCCCCTACAGCTCAACCAGAACCTCAACGATGTGCTGGTCAGCCTGGAGAAGCACCACGGCAGCAACACCTTCACAGTCAAGGCCCAGCCCAGGTGTGTGCAGGTGGGGAGGCTGTGGTTGGCCTGGGCTCCGGCATGGCCAACTTCCATGGCTGGGACCCTGAAGTGCCTTTCTTGGTCTCCTGGGGTTTTGGCCCTGGGACTCTGGGAACCTTTCTGACCCTGCCTCCTTGTGACAGGGCAGCAGGTGAGGGCAGGTCAGCTGCTCTCCCAGTGTGTCCCTGAACCCGGGGTTTCCCACCTCGTTTGTGGAGAGGGGGCGGTCAGGGTGTGGAGAAGCCCCTGCTCAGCATTGGGGGCCAGGACTGAGTGGTCCCTGGACAGCGAGCCCAACTCCAGAGCAGGGCGGTGCCACTGCCCACCCCCCACTGTGGCTGTTGTGAGAGGCCCCGAGCCTGGATGCTGGCATGAAATGCTCCACATGGGCTCCTCCCTGTCCTCTGCAGGTGCCCCAGTGGGCCAGGTGCCCAGGAGGTCCCTGTTTCCTGAGGGAGGACACTAGGGGAGGGGAAAGCCCTGTGCCTTGGGTTGGGGCCGTGGGGTTGGAGCAACAGCAAGTCTGGGATTTCCCTCCCTTTCTGGGTGTATGTGTGTGAGAGAGTGTGAGAATTCAAGTGCGTACAAAAGTACACATGAGTATGTTGGTGAGATTGCGGGAGTAAGCGTATGGGCATGTCTGAGAACATGAGTATATGAGTGCACGTGAGTGTATATGAGTGTGTGTGAGTGAGCATATGAGTGTGTGAGTGTGTATGATAATGTATGTGTGACAGTGTGGGTATGAGTGTGTGTGTAAGTGTGTGAATGTATGAGTGCATGTGAGGGTGTACGAGTGTGTTTGTGAGATTGACATGTATCTCTGTGTGTGCACGTGTGTGTGTGTGCCCATGCACGTGTCATAGCAGGTGCAGAGAACCCTCATGAGCCTCAGTTTCTGCACAGGGTGATTGTGGGTGCTTCGTGGGTGCCTGGGGTGCTGCCTAGTGACTGTGTCTCCCCTCTTCCTTCTCTGAATGCAAGAGTGACTGAGAGAGGGCCCCACCGGTGCCTGAGGCAGCAGGAGGGGTGTGGAGGGTAGGGGAGGGTGGGATAAAGGCCAAGAGGTGGAACTAGAGGTCACTAGGGAGGGCACCTGCTAGCTGCGGAGGGACATGTGGGTACACCCAGGGTGTGTGAGGTGGTGGCGGGTGTGACTGTCCTGGGCAGTGCAGGCTGCCCCCTTGAGAAGGGCACCCAAGGCCAGAGGGAGGCAAGTGGAGACTTGGGACCCAGCTTTCGACCCAGCTGGCCCATGGTACAGCCCTCCTCTTCCAGGGCTGCACACTGCCCAGCTGACCCCTCCCTGGCACTCTGGGCCCACCTGGGGTTCCTGTGGCCTGGGCCCTGTCAGCATCCCTGGTGCACCAAACTGGGGTTTGACCAGGGCACTAGGCCTGACAACAGGCCCAAGGATGGACTGTCCAGGCCTCTCCTGGCCCACAGGAGGGCAGAGGAAGGGGCCTCCCTCTGCACTTGGCATTTCCCCAAAATGAAGGCTTCCATGTCCCGTCCATCCCCACAGAAAGAAAAGTAAACTCTTCTCCCGGTTGCGCAGAAAGAAGAACAGGTACCGGCAGATAGTGCTGCGCTGGGGGCCTCCGAGCCAGCACCCGGCCACATCATGCATGTGCCTTGTGCCCTGCTGCGAGGGTGCCACTAACCCCTAACCTGCCCCGTGTGCTGTGCTGCCTCAGGGGACTGGGTTGTGCCATGTGTTGGGAGGGGACAAAGGACCAAGGGAGCTGACAGGTAGAAAGGAGGAGAGTGCAAGGTGGCAGTATGAAGATGTGGCCCTGGCTGCCTGGGTGCTCACAGGTGGAAAAGGTGGCAGGGGGAGGCCTGGGGAGGCTCGGGAAGGGGACACCGCAGCACATGTGTATACCACATGTCATGTTGATCTCTCTTTAAGGAGGCAAATACATTTCCATAAAACAAATTCAAAATAGACAAGACAGTACCAGGAATGTCTCTCACATTGTCCCCACCAGGTGACTTGGTCTTTCTAGATCTGCACCGGCTAGCACAGTGAATGCCTGAAACGTGGCCAGGGTAATGGAGGCTTTGAGTTCGTAGTGTTAATTAATTTAGATTGAATACCCGCCTCCCCTGTGGCTGGTGGGTGCTGTGTTGGATGGTGCCATTCTAGAACATCCGTATGCAAGAACAGATGATTTTATCCATCACACCCAATGGCCGCTGTGCACACCTTCGTCCCCTGGTGTTACTGTGTGGACACTATGGCCCAGGACCTTCCCCTTATTTCTGGTCTGTCTGCTCTTCTGCCATGAAGTCATGCCATCTGTTTACCTGGCCTCTGGGGAGTGTATTGGGGAGGCACACTGGGCTGAGGGGGACGGGGATCGAAGGTCTGGAGACAGTGAGGGTATCATGGGTGGACTAATGGACTGCAGTGGGTGGAGGTGGCAGCCTGTGGGGCAGGCCAGGGAGGCGGTCCCCACCCCCTGATAGAGGGACTGCTGTGTAGTTGGGGAGACTCACTTTGCCTCTAGAGTGTCTGGCTTGCTCATGCTGCAGATCTCGGACAACATCAGCATAGGCTGGGGTACCAGGTGCCTTCTGTGTCCCCAGGGATCACAGGCCTCCGGTCTGGAGTCCCAGCTGGTGCAGCTCCTGCCTCCAAGGCAGGTCCCCACTGTGAACTCCTGCAGGTGCATGCCCATGGCCTTTCCTTACCACCCATTCTCAAAGACACGCACACCTCATATTCTCCTGTACCGGCACGCATGCACACACATTTCCACACGTGGATACAGGGGGACATGCAGGCACCATGTACACACCCTGTCCCATGTGGAACCCTGGGGACATGCAGGGACCATGTACACTTACTCTCACACGCGGATCCATAGGGACATATAGGCCCACATACGCACAATTCCACATCAGGATCTGCGAGGACAGGTACACAGGTGTCCTTAGGCATACACCCATGTACCCGCCACGTCTGCGCATCTCTCTTATGCCATGGCCTCTCTACATTGCCCTCCCTTTCTTATCCTGCCTCCATAGTGACAATGCCCCTGCCAAAGGGAACAAGAGCCCATCGCCTCCACCAGATGGCTCCCCTGCAGCCACCCCCGAGATCAGAGTGAACCATGAGCCAGAGGCAGCCAGCGGGGCCACACCCGGGGCCTCCATCCCCAAGTCCCCATCTCAGGTAGGCATGCTGTCTCAGTGGCCTGTCCCCTGCCCCCCCTTTCTCTTGCTCCTATGTTGCTGTCTCCATCCTCCTCCTCCTCCTCCTCCTCCTCTCCCTCCTCTTCTCCCTCCTCTTCACCCTCCTCCTCTTCCTCCTCCTCCTCCTCCTCCTCCTTCTCCTCCTCCTCCTCCTCCTTCTCCTCCTCTTCCTCCTTCTCCTCTTCCATCCCTTGCCTGGACAGGTTTGGAGCCAAAGGCTTTGCCCAGCGGGGGCCCGGGCCTGGGCTTTGTTCTCTTCGGCCCCCACCTAGCCCAGGCTGGCCCAGTGGCCCTGGCCCACCCCAGGTCTGTGACTATTTCTCCTTTCCTGTGTCCCCACATACCCTTTTCATCCCCTTCCCTCTCTCCCTGGCTTTTCCGATTTTGGCTCCTTGACTTTCTCTCCATCTTCCTTCTGTGTCTAGATAGGTGCTCAGGTGTCCTCAGCCTCCGGAGTCTTGGAAGTCTCTTCTCTCACTGGCGGGGGCTTGAGGAAGGAGCCCCACCAGGTGTTCTTATGGGATCATGAAAGGGACAGAAAGAGGGAGGACTCAGTGAGGGAGCGTGGGAGGTCCAGTGGGACAGAGCCTGGGCTTCTGGACTGTTTTGTCTCCACACCCCATCTGCCCCACCAGCGGGGGGCCTGGGAGTGGGCAGCCAGGTGGGGTTGAGAGGGGAGAACCCTTTTGGTTTCTATGCTGTTCCTGATTCAGTGGGCAATTTGGATAATGATGCTAAGAGTAGGGACAAGTGCCCAAGTGAATAGCGCTTCTTCTGGGCTGGACATTATACCAGTGCTCTCCATGTTTTCATTCACTGAATCCTCCCAGCTGCCCTGGGCAGTGGAGACCATTAGCACCGGTATTCAACAAAGGGGGAAGCCCAGGCTCGGGGACTGTGTGGCCTGCACGAGTTCCCTCACCTTGTGAGTAGGTGTGTGGCCCTGCATGGCCTGGCCCCATGTTGGCCTCTCTAGGGACAGACTGAGGCTGAGCTGGGGCAGCCCTGGGCCTAGGGAGATGGAAGAGTGGACTGTGGGAGGGCAGAGGTGGACAGGGGTGAGCGCCAGACCTCACCCAGAGGTCCTGGGGCCTGAGCGGTCACTCTTACCCTCTTTAGCTCTCTCTTTTGCTCCCTCCTTCTCTTTCCTCCGCTCTCCTTTTTCTTCTTCCTGCACAGTATTTCTGGACTTCCTGCCTTGGTCTCCCCCCTGGGGGTGGCCTGTAATCCTGGTGTCTGGGTCTGGGGGCAGTGACTCTTCATTGACCTTGTTTTCCTCAGTTGCCTGCGTGGTGCTGGGGCTTGGGGTGTGACTAACCTTGGCTTTGTCTCTGTCTCCCCGGACCCCCACGCTCTGCTCTGCCTCCTGCGCTGCCCCCTGGCCTGCGGACCCACAGCTCCGGAAAGGTCCACCAGTCCCTCCGCCCCCCAAACACACCCCGTCCAAGGAGATCAAGCAGGAGCAGATCCTCAGCCTGTTTGATGACACGTTTGTCCCCGAGATCAGCGTGACCACCCCCTCCCAGGTCAGCCGCGGCCGCCGCGGCCCAGTCTTCTCCCCTCCTCTCGCTCTCCGGGAGCGTGCATGATCTTCATTCTCCATCCCATGCCCTGGGCTCCTGTCTTTAGGGCCAGGAGTCTGGCTGTGTAGTCTGCGCCTGCCTCTCTCATTCATCCGCCCTCCCACCTCCGTCATTCCTCCATCACTGTCCATCATCCATCTCTGAGCATGTCCTGTGGCCAGATGCAGGGATACGGAGGTGAAGGCTGTCCCCTTGCCTCTGGGGGCCAGCTCTGCTGATGCTATGGTGGGGAGTGTGGAGGGCTTAGGGCAGTCAGGGAAGGTTTCCTGGAGCAGGTGACCTTTGCTCGGTGGGTACTCACAGAGAGCCATAGGCAGAGATAGCGGAGAGTCTGGGAGGGATGGGAGATGGGATGACTGTAGCCAGAATAACATGGGGGTGGGGGCAGTGGGAGTAGCTGGTCAGAGCAGTTGGACACCCTAGAGTGGCCTGGCATGGAGACTTTGGCTTGTAAATGTCCTAACAGACGTGTAATGCCCCTCCATGTATGAACAGGAGGAGGGCACAGCAGGGAGTGTTGCTCATGGCTGAAACCTCTCGCTGGCACCAGATTGGGCTGACACATTATCAGATGGACTCAGGGGCAACCCCCAGAGAACTTCCCGCTGGAGGCTGGCTCCCCAGGCCTCACAGCCTCCCTTCTGCAGGGCCTCACCTTTGATGGAAGTGATGCTAGACCAGACTGTGGAGGACTCGGCCACAGTGCCGTGGGGTTTCTCGGGCCTGCCTGCAGCCTGGCCCTGGAGGTCTTTCGACTCTGCCTCCAGCAGGATCCTTTGCATAAGCCCAGAAGCCTGGAGGAGAGGCCCATGAGCATGGTGAAGGGCAGGTGGGATCAGAGAACAATGGTTACAGGTTGGCACCAAGACTGCTGGCAGGTGTCTGTGTGACGCAATGCCAGCGGCCCAGGAGGGATACAGACCTCTCTGAGAAGGAGGCACAGGGAGGTAGGAATAGCAGTGACAGCCCTCCTCTGCCTGAGGGTGACTGTCTGGGAGACCTGGACATGCTGGCCAGCATGTTTTCAGATGAGGGAGACGGATGACATGAGAGCTACCAAGTACTGACCAGGTAGTGCCACCTGCTTCCTGCAGTACATCCTTTGGTTTTCAAACACCCTCTAGGAGGGGGCATTGCCCCTATTTAGGAGGTGAGGGACCTTCAGGCCTGATTGACAGCCTGTCTCAGACAGGGAAGAGGAGTCTGGCCAGGATGTGGCTAGAGACTGCTCATACCCAGACTATGACTCTGTGTGTCTCTGTCCCCCCATGTGTCTGCATGTGTCCTTTGCCACCCCTTGTATCCATATCCAGGGAGGTAGGGCTCTCCATTCTGGTCTGGGGTGGGACAACTGTCTACCTTGGGTATTGCTGCATGGGGCAGGGGCGGGTTTGTCCCCATCCATGATGCAGGTTCTACCAGGGCTTCTTTGCTGTGATGTGGTGAGTAGCCTGTGTCCCTGCGAGGAAGGATCCTCAGTCATGCATGGTGCGGGGTGGGGGTCATTTGCCAGGAGCAATACAGCAAGTGGTCAATGCTGTGGCTGATGACCCTTCCCTGGGAGCACTAGGGGAGTTGCTGTCTGGACTTAGCCGGCTAATGTGAGGGTGTTGAAGAAGCAGGGTGGGGCTTGGGGAGGATGCTGGCCCCCTGCTGGTGGGAGGTACCTGGAGGCTATGTGTATTGGGACACTTGGTGTCCTAAGTACTCAATCCTCAGAGATGGCTTGGCTGTGAGTTGGGGCAGTGACCTTACCGACTCAGGCCCATCAGATAGGACCGGACCTGAAGGAGAGTCAGCCGCTGGGGGTAGGCCTGGGCCCCCCTGGTTTTGGGGAATCAGTCTATTTGACCTGCTGACGTGGAAGGCCTGATACTGGAGGACAGATGCCCGTGAGTGTTCTCAGGAGGCCTCTCTGGAGAGCCACTGCCCATACCTCAAGTCTCAGGCCCTTGACGGAGGCTCTGTGGTGGACACCGGCCTGGAGGGCACTCCCTCTTAGTGCTGGGTGCCTGTCAAGAGTGAATAGGGCCAGGGAGTTGGCTGGCCTGGGCTTTTGGGGCTAGGGACCTGCCTAGTACTGCATGAGGGCTCAAGAGAGCCAGAACCCTGAGCCACATCCTCTTTTGGATCTGGATAAAGTCTTTTCTGGTCCTGAAAGAAGGAAATCCCTTGCATAAAAAGATGAAGGCTGCAGACTGTCCAGCCCCTCCTTAAAAGCACCCTGTCCCCTGAGTGCTGGTGCATTCCCAGCCCCCTACCAGCCTCAGAGGGCTTTTCAAAGCCAGTCATCAGTTCTGCCATCTAAGGGTCCTCCCCTGGGGGCTCTGGGGAGACCTCCCCCTGTAGTGGTGCGGCCTGTTGTACAGTGGGCTTCTCCCTTGGGGCTGTGCCTGTTCTATGCGTGTTGCTGGGCCCACTGAACAGGGGTCTGGTGGTGGCTGCAGGGGTGGAGTCGAGCTTTAATGCAGATTTGCCAGGTGGATCTGAAGCCCCTAGCACTGGGGACCCCACTTTGGAGATTGGCCTCTGAGGCTGTCTAGGCTTGCTCAACTTTTTCTCCATCCCTGCAGCTGGTTGGTAGATGACACAGAGGGTGACTTGACTGGGGTTCCCCAGGGACAAGTAGTATAGAACTCCCAACCCTGGGGCCTGCAGGTTGGGGAGACTGAGGGTGATCCTGTCCAGCTGGGCTGTGGCCTGGGGCTGCTCTTGGTGTGCAGCGGAGCTTTTGGAGAAAGAAGAGGAGCACAGGAACCTGCCCCATCCAGTGGATGGAGATGGGGGCAGTCTGGGCCTTGCCTTGGTCTTACGGGGTGGCTGCCCCATGGCGGGACTGCTGCTGGATGTCCAGTGCTGAGTGCTAGGTGTTGTCCTTATGTGAGGGGGACCTGTGCCACGTCCTGTGGCCACGGGTAGTGCTCCTTAGTATATGTGTGTGAGGTGGGTGGGCTAGAGCCTGGGATGGGGGTCTGTATTCACCTACTGTGTGTCCCTGCGGTGAAGGTGCTCAGCCTGCCACTAACAACCTTCCTCTTCTGCTGCTGCTGCTGCCAAGTTCGAGGCCCCAGGGCCTTTCTCTGAGCAGGCCAGTCTGCTGGACCTGGACTTTGACCCTCTGCCACCCGTGGCAAGCCCCGTGAAGGTGCCCACGCCCTCTGGTCAGGTTGGTTGTGCCCACTACCACCCGCAGGCCCACCAACTTCCAGGGTCTGGGCTTATGTTTGCCCACCTGCTATGTGGCCACGTAGGCTGAAGGTTTTGGGGGTCCCAGATCACCAGGCCCTCTTCCCACTCACTGCCCTGCCCTTCACCTTGCTTCCTGACTCTCAGTCCTTGTCACTCCTTTAGGTGCAGGGCAGAAAACAGACCCAGACTAGCCATCAGACACCCCTCAGAAGAGGGCTGGTTAAATACTTCGTGCAACTTCTGGTTCATCTCAGCACCCTGCCTGTCCTGGCAGCCACTCCCTGACCTGGGGTGTGGTAGCTGCAGACCTAGCTCTTGTTCCTGCTGTACCCAAGCCCTGGGGTAGGGGGTCTCTGTGGACTGCTTGCTCTCCTGTCTCTAACCTCCGTGCTAACTCTGTCCTTCTCCCCCACTGCTGCGCTCAGTCAATTCCGTGGGACCTCTGGGAGGTAAGCTGTGTTTGCTCTGTATCCGGGGGAGCTGCGTCTCTGTGTGCCCAGGCCACTCACCCCCTACTCCTGTTCACAGGTGCACACACCTGGCACACTCACCCAAGCAGCACACACAGACACGTGCACACATGCACAGGGAGCCCACTGAGGCTGCTTCTGTAGCTGATCTACTGCTTCTCCTGGTCATCACCATGGGAAAGGGCCTCCTCAGTTTAACTGGAGATGAGGTGTCCCCTCCATGATGTGACATAGCCCTCAGGGCCTGTGAGTGTTTGCCTGTGGACAAGAAGCCAGGTGGTCACCTAGGATGGACTGGGTTCTTTATGGTGGGCGGAGACCTGTGAGGCAGGAGGGCCTTGGAGTGGAGGGCCCTTTTTGGCAGTGGAGGAATGCAGAATGGCATCAGGGAGCCATTTGGTGGGTGAGGGCAGGGCTGTTGTCTTCCGAGATCAGTGACTATGGGCAGGTACAAGGCCAGCTCACTTGGGACAGGTGCCACCCATCAGCTTATAGCTCAGAGTGCTGAGGCCCAGGGAGCGCTTGGAATAGGCTCCATGGCTGGTGGTGGTTGAGCCAGAATTCCCAATGGGCTTGGTCCTTGAGACCTCCTGATGCAAGCTGAGGCCCTGGCAGGAGCAAGTGGATGTGGCATGTCATGCTCTGGGGGCATACACCCCAGTGCTGCTCCTGGGAATTCCAGTAGAGCATTTTACTTGAGCAGCCAGTGACAACCTGGTTTGAACAGCAGGGCGAGTTTCGTGTGTGGATTTCTGTGGATGCTGAACTGCAGGGTCCCATCCCACCTGACCATTGCCTTGGCAGAGGCAGAAATAAGGAAGGGAGAGAGAGGCGAGCCCTCGGGCTCTGGCTAGACTACCTGCCCCAGGCACCCACACCCTCCCGCCAACACTCTGGCCACTCATGACGGTCTTCTCTTGTCTCGTGCCCCTGCCCAACGTTTTCCCCACCTGGCCTCCCTGCTCCTCCCTTCCCCACCTGCCCCGTTCTCTCCTGGTGGCCTGTCACTAGCCCACAGAGAGTCCAGCTGGCAGCCTGCCATCCGGGGAGCCTGGTGCTGCTGAGGGCACATTTGCTGTGTCCTGGCCCAACCAGACGGCCGAGCAGGGGTCTGCCCAAGTAAGTGCCTGCCCACCCCCACCCCCTGTCCAGCTTGTCCCCATCTCTGGGGGTATAGCATGGATGAAGAGGCCAGAGGAGGGGGTGCAGGATGGACCAGGCCACTGTGGGCCTGAGGGTGAGGATGGTGTCCTGAGCCAGGAGGGCCCTGGACAAGGTCACTAGGGGGTGTGGGTGTACATGGCTGGAGTCACATCTTGCCTCCCTCCCACTTGCCCACCCCAGTGCAGGGCCCCCTCTGAGTGGGGGAGAGAGGACCATTATAGAGCACACTTACCAGTTTATACCAGGCACTTTCCAGAATTTTCTCACTTAATCTTCATTATGATCTTGTCAGCCACGCTTCTTCCTTTTCCAGGTGAGGAAGTGGAGGCTAAGGGAGGTCGAGTAACTTGGTTTCAGGGGTAGGAAGTGTCCGAGTCTGTGTTGGCCCAGGTCAGCCCAATTGCAGGGCCCTTGCTGGGGGCTGCTGGGGCATCCCTGACTGTGATGTAGTGTCCAGGGCTGGGAAAGGACCACCCTGCCTGCTGTGAGCTGCATTCCTGTGGGGACAGGAGCATAGATGCAGGCTTCTGCCTGGTCAGATGGGCCAGGCAGGGTGGACAGGAGGCAGCGGGGACTTGGTGATGTCTTAGAGGGTAGGGCCTGCGAGGCATGGTTGGGGTGGCATCCTGGGTTCCTGCACTAGGCTTCTGCATGCACGTCACTTGGTGTTCCTGTGCCTGCCAGCACCTCTTCAGCATCTTCCTGTGTCTGGGGCCTGCCTGAGCTGCAGGGGCTCCCAGATTATTCAAGGTCCTGGCAATGCTAGAACTGGAGACCAGCCAGGCCAATATCCCTGGCCTTCCCACTCAGGTGCTGCCCTCCCCTGGCCTGTTCCCTGTGTCCTGGTTGCAGCATCCTGTCCTGTGTCTGACCCCTTGACGGCATTTATGTTGCAGCCCGCAGAGGCCTTGGAGGTGGCAGGTGGGACCCAACCTGCGCCTGGAGCCCAGGAGCCTGGGGAGACGGCGGCAAGTGAAGCAGCCTCCGTAAGACGGCAGGGACCAAAGCCCTGCTTTTCTTTCCTGCTGTGTCCACCGTCTGTCTGTCTGTCCACCTGCCTGCCTGTGGCTCCCCTGTGCTACTTGCCAGTAGGCTGAGGTTCCCGTTGAGGAGTTTGGGGACACGCTGGTCCGGCACCTGGCACAGACACCTCTCCTTCCCTCCCCGGTGGCCCTGGTTCTTCCTGCACCACCACCCTGATCAGCTAACTTGTCTCCTGTCCCCAGAGTTCTCTTCCGGCTGTGGTGGTGGAAACGTTCTCAGCAACTGTGAATGGCACCGTGGAAGGCAGCAGTGGGGCCGGCCGTTTGGACCTCCCTCCGGGCTTCATGTTCAAGGTGAGCACAGGCTAGCAGACCCAGCCACTGTTCCACTGTGCCTGGGGCTGGGGCCATCCTCTCAGATTTGCTGTCATATGATCCCTGCTATGCCACTCCAACCCACTAAGTGGCCTTGGAGCCCCGCATCACCATTTCACAGGGGTTCACGGTACAAAGCCTCTGCCCTGTGCTAGTCTGGAGGGGGACCACGGGGTTGCTGACATACTCTCCCGACCTCTAAAGGTGCAGGCTCAACACGATTACACGGCCACTGACACCGACGAGCTGCAGCTCAAGGCTGGTGACGTGGTGCTGGTGATCCCCTTTCAGAACCCGGAGGAACAGGTGAGTGGGTGCCGGGCTGCAGTGACGGAGACAGCCAGCAGAGGGCAGCAGAGGCTCGCTGTCTGGTGGTCCAGGACTCCGTGGGTTGCTCCTCCCCTTTCCCTAAAGCCCTTTACTCTCATCCTGATTTTTGTCCATCCTGTCCTCTCCCACTGGCCTCTTCTCCCTGCCCCTCTTCTCTCCATCTTTCAGCTCTTCAGTGTCCTCTTTTCCTTCAGCCTCCATTTCTTCCTCTTAGGCTCTGTCAGCTTTCTCTTTCCCCCTTCTCCCTCCTTACCTACCCCTGGCCCAGGCCACCTTCCTCCCCAAACAGGATCCCTCTTGCTCAGGTCCCTGCCTGCAGGTGTCCTCTGTGCAGTAGACGGAGCAATGGCTGAGCAGTGGCCTCTCTCTGGGATCACATCCACCCGGCTGTTGCCCTCGAGGCTGGCCCTGCTCTGTCCACGCCAGGCCACCATTTTCTCAGCTGTATTCACAGCTGGGTCTCATTCCAGATGCCTTCTGCGCCTGTGGCTTCTCCATATTAGTTCATCTCAGAGGACCCTCATGGGTTTGGACCAGCTGATTTGCTCAAATGGCTAAGGGCTCTCAGAAGGACTTCACTTTTGGTGCAAGGGAGCCTTTGTGGGGTGTTTGGTGGTGCCCATGGGGACGTCTGGCTTTTGCCCTTAGTTTCAGCACTGAGCACCTGCTGGCAGAGCATAAGGGACCTAGGTCTGAACCCACTGATTCTCCTAAGCCCCCACGTCTCCACTGACCTCTCTAGGGTGCCTGCCCTCACTGGGTGGGATTTCAAGAAGGAGAACCCTGAACCTCAACCACAGGAAGGTTTTGTTCAGGGGTGGCTGGAGTGGGCTCAGATAGGACATCAGAGTTACATGGGACAAGGCAGATAACAACACAAAGGTAAATCACAAAGATCCAGGAAGTTCCCAGGCCTAGTCCAGCCGCAGGGGCAGCATGGCCCAGCTGTGGGCAGGGATGGACAGTCACTCAGTTCCAGGGTAAGCCTGCTAGGGGTCAGCCGTGAAGCAAAGGGCAAGTTGGAAGTGAAGCGCTTGACAGGATGGACTGGGGACCTTCTAGTAGCTTTTAACTGGTGAGTGCTTCTAGATCTTTCCAGTACTGTATATAGAAATCTGAAACCTGGAAGGAGTGCTGCTGTCCTCCTCAGTGGGCACTGGGTGGTATGAAGCCCTGGGACTGGGGCTGGGGGTGTTGTTTGGCATGATTACATCAGTGCAGTGGTCAGGCTGTCTTAGAAAAGAGCAGCTCACCCAAACCAGGCGTAGGTTTGACCCTAAACCCACCCATTGAGGGCAGGCTGGCTCCTGCGGGGTAGGTATAGGTCTCAGGAAGAGGCATCAGGAGGCATTTTCAAGGTGGGCTGGGCAGGCTGAGAGGCAAAGAGCAGGAAGAGGGACCATCTTCCCAAGAGATTCCAGGGAACCCTGTTTGGTTCTGTGCCCTCTGTCCCTCATCCCTGTGTGATGTGGGTGCTCTCCTTGCACCAGGATGAAGGCTGGCTCATGGGCGTAAAGGAGAGTGACTGGAACCAGCACAAGGAGTTGGAAAAATGCCGGGGCGTCTTCCCTGAGAACTTCACGGAACGGGTGCAGTGACGTGACAGCGGAGCTCCTGCAGTCCTCTGGGTGTGTGAAGAACACCTTTCCCCCCTAAAAAAAATGTGTGTTTTTTTCTTTTTTTTTCTTCTTCTCTTTTTTCGTTTTCGTTTTTAAACTTTTGAAAAAGCAAAGGGAAACTGAGACGAGAGACCTAAGCCGAAAGGTATTCTCCCAAAGATTAGGTTGTTCTCCCCCAAAAGCCCAATCCTGGCCAGTCTGGTAGAATTCACCAGTGTTTCTGGAGCTGCTGTGGTCCCTAGTTGAGTTCCTGGCATCCTTCTCTGTGCCCGCATGTGTGCCCGGCTGCAGGGCGGGCTGGGGGCCGCCAAGTCACCGCCACGCTTGCCTGAAGCTTCAGCCGCGCCACCTGGGCAAGGGTCTTCTTTACCTGGCAGCTGCTGTGGGTGGGCGCAGACACCAGCCCTGCCTGGCCCTGCCCCGCAGACCATCCGTGTGCTGTTTGAAAATAAACCTTAGTGTTCAAACAAAACGAAACAAAGAAACAACAACAACAAAAACTGACAAAACACTAAAAAAAATAATAATAATAATAAATAAAGCCTGTGTGTTTATTTTGCCACCCCTGCCCATCATCTGTATCAGGACTCCAGGAGTCCACACAGGAGAAAACCGGGACCCTGCTGGTGAAAGGGGGTCTGAGTGCTTTGTCCAGAGTCTGGTGGACTAGGAAGGGGCCTGGGTGCTGGCCCACCTTCACCCTCCTCTTGCGGCCCCTACTGAGTGCAGCCCCAGCTCCTCCGCTCCATCGGTGATGTGGGCCGGTCTGAGCAGCCCACGATGACACGCAGCGGTGGCCTGGGCCTTCCCAGGAGCTGAGGGAGATTGTGCCTGTGGCCCAGGAACCAGCCTGGACTTGCAGATGGGAAGAACTTGTCTTCCCATAAATTTGCACTGATAGTAAAAGGAGGTGACTGTGAGAAGACTCTGAGCTTTACTTTAGAGTAAAATCTCTCAACTTTGCTTTAGGTGGCACAAGTGTCCTTGCTGTTGGCCCTGACGGGTCCTGTGGGTGACAGATAGTGCTGAATCTGCCATCCATAACTTTCAGGAGCAGTAGAAGTTACAGCAGCAGCAAACAGAGGGTTGATTTCTAGATATCTCTCTTTTGAAAGATTTTGCTTTTTGTGTCTCTCTGCCTCCTTTCCTCTGTCCCTCCTTCCCTCTTTCCTTGTTGACAGCCTTTTTCCCTTGGAGGAGCTGGATTTGGTGCCCAGACCTGGCCAGTTCCACTGCTTCTGAATCTGGGGTGTGTGTGTGCCCTGGGCTGTATGTATGTATGAGGAGTTGTGCAGCCAGGGTGGCAACAGGAGAAATCTTCACTTTTATCTCAGTGTGAATATTGAAAACGTAGTCATTGAAAACACCTAGCAAAAAGAATTTGCATTAAGTTTACGACAATATGAGATTCAAAGAGAGGTCAGATGGGACTTTGTTGCCCCTGACCCTCAAGGCAGTTCTGACCCTTGCAATTGGGATAGTTTGGCAGGACAAGCCATGCTTGGTACCCCACCGTGGGGATCTGCAGGGGGCTCCAGAGGGGAGCCGGTAGATCTCCAGAGACAGTGCCCAGAGCAAGCATGCAGGGTGCGAGGGCCACACTCATGGCTCCCCCTGAGCTTCAGCTGGTCTGTGTTGGACAGCTGAGGTGGCACTAGGCTCCTGTCAGGGAAATTCAGAGCCAGGTGGCCTGGACCAGAGGTTAGGGAGGTGACCAGCTGGGCGGAGAACTGAGCTGAAGCCAGGACGGAACGAGGCACAAAAGGCAGGAGCCTGTGAGCCAGTTTCTACACCTGGCACCTGGGCATGCATGGCCCTGGCATGTTTGCCAAAACCTGGCTTGATTTGTGTTGATCAGAGGGCAAGGAGGCCTGATCCCTGGGCAGGGCTCCTGGCTTTCACAGGGGGCAGGCCAGGGTGGGTTCTGGGCCCTGCATGGAGGCTGGAGGTTCTGGCAGACCCTGTGCTTTGGAGGGCCAGGCTAGGGGTTTGGAAGGAGCCCAGTCCTCTGCTCTGGCTCCCCTTTGTCCTCCGGGGGCCAGGAGAGTGGTGGGGAAGATAGTGATGGTGCAGAGCCGGGCCTGGATGGAGCAAGGCCTAGGCAGGTGGGTCAATTGTGTGCGGGTGCCTGCAGTACTTCAGGTGCCTCGGGGTGGTGGTGGGGGGACAGGACCCACCTGGAGGCAGTCATAAAGCTTTCTGGCAAGCATGGGCCTCTCTGGGAATCTGTGAAAGTCTTTAGAAAATTGATTGACTTATTTATTACTTCTCTATGTTATGAACCAAGTTGCTGACAGGAAGCAGGATTTTAGCCCTTGGGACTTGGCAGCTGGAATCATGACACTTTAGGGCTGGGGATGTGGCTTGGGAGTAGCATGCTTGCTTAGCATGCATGAGGGCCTGGGATCGATCCCCAGTACTGCCAAAATACATGTATATAACTACATATCTTATCAGTGCGAATGGCCCAACTGACCCCATGGTCAAGGCCATGGGCTCTGCACAAAGGGCCCCTGGGGTGTCTCAGAAGTCTCCATCCCAGTTCAGGGAACTCTTCCTGGTCTCTTTGCCCTCCTGCCAGCTCTCAAGGCATCCATAGTGGCTAGGACACCTCCCCAGGGACACCCTGTGGCCTCCTGCTTCCCGTCCTTGGTTGGATTTGGTAACCATGTTGGGATGACTATCTGGTTCTTCTGCCCTGGAGACCTTTGGCCCTGCCTCTGGGAATTAAAAAAAAACCATACCCAACCCCAAAACCAGGCTCCCTGAAGGGACATTGTGAAGGGAGGCCAAACATGGGGTTCCTTTGCTCAGAAGCCTTGACTGGGCCCCCTTGTGTCCAGGTGTGCGGGCACTTAGGTGACATTCCCATGACACTCCTGGTTCCCCGTCCTCTAGCATCAGCTTCGTCTTTGGACCGGTCTCCAGTGGTTCTGGTTTGATGTCGGCACACTTCCTTCCCAGAAGCCCCCAGTAAATCTTGTGTCATTGGCCTGATCTGTGTCAGGTCCCCAGTCCTGAACCAATGGCGGTGGCTGGATATGGGACCTGTGGACAGGCCCAAGACAAATAGGGCCTGAAGCTGCAAGTGGGCAGGTTAGCTGAGGCAAGGAGAAGGGGCAGTGGATTCTAGGAGCTCAGACCCTGCATGTCCACTCCACAGTGGTCTCCAGAAAGGGCATGAAACCAGGAAACTTAAGTGGACATAAACTATGAATAGGTGTGTATGTGTGTGTGTGTGTGCAGTGTGACATGCTCTTGGACTTCCCAGCCTCCAGAGTCAAAGCCAAAATAAACCTCTTTATAAACCACCCAGTTCCACATATTTGACTGAGACACAGGATTTCCAGGGGCCTGGGACATTGGGGCCAGTCTCAGGCAGGGAGCAGCAAGTGTCACAGGCAAGTTGGGGACACGGGGTTGGCTGAGTTGGAGAAACCTGTGGAGTCCAAGCTCTTCCTGAGGAGCCTGAATCTCAGGAGAGAAAGAGGCCAGGGAAGAGATGAGTGGACCCAGCCTAACGGGGAGTAGGAAGGAGGCTCAGGGAAGAGCCATTAAGAGACGGAAGATGTGTTGAGGGCATCTTTGAGGAAGATGATAAGGGACTGCTGAATTCCTTCCCTTAGGAAGACCTTTGGCCAAGGGGACAGGGATACAGTCAAGATGGCGGCATTGCCAGCCTGCTCTTGGGCCTTTGGGGCTCCGTGGGCAGGGACTGCTATGGGCAGAGACAGGCAGGCTGCCGCTATGAGATTGCAGGCCCTGACTCTGACAATGCAGGAGAGCAGACCACTGAGGGAAGGCCCTTCTCAGAGTAATTAAAAAGGATAATTAATGAGGCCAAAGGAAGGTGCCTTCCCGACAGCCCCTGATTACAGATGAAGATCCAGGCTGGTGGAGGGAGAAGGGGAGACGGGACATTTTTCCTTCTCCCAAACAGCCAAGGTCAAGGATGGCTGTGGAGTCTTGATAAAGGCCAGGCTTTGACCCCTAGGGTGGGTGGAGACTAAAAGGCCCTGCTGTCCTCCCTGCCAGTCAACCCTAGGCATTTATTTCATGTCCCCATTGTGCCCTTCCCATGTGACCTGCCAGGGGGTGGGTGGGCAGGAGCCACAGCTTTGCCTTGAAGGTGATAAGCTTATGGTGGACCAAGGTTCACCGAGAGAGACCATCTCAGCGTTCTTCCTTCTGGGAGCTTGATAACATCACCACGTTCTTATTTTGGTAGATCAAGAGGACACACAGTTTCCATAGAGCAGTCTTGTAATGGGCTGAGAACTTTCTGGAAGGTCATCTTCCATTATGAGCTGATGACCCACATCTGTACCTTCGGGGCAATTTTTCTACCCGTCTTCAGCGATGGGCATCTTCCCTTATGCCACGGGCACCTCAAACTTTAGGTCTGTTAAACCTGTATCATTCCCTGGACTCTTTCTCTGCTCTTGGGGCAGATGCTGCTCAGTGCTCAGCCAGTACTCATTCCCTCCACCTTCCTAACTGAACTATGATGTTGTCTAAGGAACCAGTATACTTCCCTAAAACCTCATTATTCTAGATTTCCTTGCAGCTATCAGTAGCTTTGTAATCGGGCCAATGAGATGATTGACATCCCTTCCCTAGTAAGAAGTCAAAACTTTGCTAAGAGAATGGCTTTCACCTCCTTTTCCTGCCTGGAGAAAGGGCTGGAGGTGCAGCAGCCATTTTGTGGTGCAAGCACATACCTCTGCAGATGGCCATAAAAACAACTCACAGAGGATGGCAGAGGGCAAAGGTGGAGGCATTCAGAATGTCTAGTCCAACCTGGTCGTCTGTCCTTCTGACATATTTGTGTGAAACAAACAAGCTGTTACTTGAGGCCTTCCTGAATACTCCCTTGTCCTTTCCTCATGTCCTCTGATTTGACTTCCTAGAGAATTCTGCATCTGCCTCACCACCCTGACCTAGGCTTGCCATCCATTTCCTGTGCACCCACTGGGGTCCCGCTGCCAGGGTGATTCCTCTGAAACTTATTTCTGACCTTAGCATGCCTGGGTTTGAACCCTCCAATAGTCCCCATTTCCCACACAAGTCCAGACCCCTTAATGAATCCTTCCTGTTCTGGCCCCTAGGCACACATTTTCTGCCCCCCTCTGCCTGGCATGGCCTGTCCCAATAACACTGCTGAGCCTCATGCCTCTTCTCACTGTAACTTTTCTCTCCTATGCTGTGGCTGAGCAGGCCTCAGGGATGTTCCCTCTTTCTCTCCCAGGTGACTCCTACTTCCTTGTAGGACACAGGGCCCCGTGGGGAATGGCTTCCTCTTTAGCGCTCACCTGTCCAGGAGACATTTACGCACTGCATGCACCATGTTTGAGCCTCCTGCCCCTCTTGCCTGGATGCTGACTCCCTGTGCAGCCCCAGCCCTGGCCAGAGTCTCAGTGAGCAAATAAATGCTGGGCTTTGCTCGGATGGGTCCCTGCCATAGGCTCACCCTCCACTTTCTGCAGAAGCCACAGGGCACTGTACACTAAAACCTGGAAAAACGACTCATAATCCTCTCGCCCCACCCTAAAACCATTTTTCACTTTTGCCAGTAGATTTATAAAAACTCAAGGCCAGGCTCTGGCATCTCCCTTGGTCATGACTTACCTGGTTAGATTTGATATCGACATCTCAGTCTCAACCTGTGTCCTACCAGGGGCTGAACCTGCCATCCAGACTAGGCCAAGGGCAGGGAACGAGCCCTTGCAGTTCTCAGAACCCACCATGTGACTCCAGAAACCTATTAAAGCCCTCAAACCCAGTTTCCACATCTTTAAGTAGGGAGTTTGGATGACAAGATGTGTTATAATAAAATTGCTAAATTCTGCCTGCAGAGCCCTGGGGCCCATCATCATAGGCTCAGATATTTATTTGGAATGCTAGTTTTCCTCAAGTTTGGTCCCTCCAACCCCCACTATTTTCCTACATGCTATAATCTTTCTCTATTTTGTTTACAAAAGTTATTTTAAAATCTTATTTATGTATATATTTTTATCAGTGCATTACAATTGTACGTAACAGTAGAATTCGTTGTTACATTCTCATAGAAACACACAATATAACCATATAATTTGGTCAATTTCATTTCCCAAGCTAACAAGTATTTTGAGAGACCATGAGATCTGGCAGCACAGATTAACATTCTAAGATGTGTAGCCATAATTTTTTAAGCCCATGATAAACATCCATCCTAGTGAACGTTGGTCTTTCAAAATAAGGGTGTGTGTGTGTGTGTGTGTGTGTATCCTTATTCTAACAAAAGGCTGCAATTGTTCAGCACATTCTAGAATTTCTTGTCTAGGACACATCTCCAGGCGTGTGTGTGGCGGCAGTGCTGTTGGATGCCATCCATGCTGAGAAATTGTTATCTTCTGTCAGGAAATTCAATTTTGGGGTCATAGAAAGAAAATAATTTTTAGTTGAAAGTTGTTTAGCATTTGAAGTTGGGATGGATTGGATTAGGAGGAAGCCAAAAAAAAAAAATTCCTTTAATGGAAATGAAATGTTATCTGCTGGGGAAAAAAAAAAGAAACCTACCCTTAAAGAGCATGTTTGGTGCCCTTGGCCCTGCAACCCTGGCCTGGGTGGGGAAGTCAAAGGACCAGTCAGTCTGTATGAAAAAGAAATGGTAATTGTGTTTCTGTCTGTGGGGGACAGACAGCGGTTGGGTGTGGGGATCCCCCAAAATGGGGAGGGGGGAGAATCAAGAGGAGAATCTGGAGGGAGAGATGGGGGTCCAGGAGGAAGGCTGAAGGATGTGCCTGGGGGGCCAGGCTGCGGGAATGATGTATCCTGGCAGCAAATGGGGGCTGAGGACTGATGCTCAGTTTGAAGCTGGTTCCGTTCTGTGCTGGGTTGAAAAATTCCATCGTCCACTGTAAATCTTGAGTGTATCAATGTGGTGTTAAGGAGATGGGGACAAGGGACGGACTCCATGTTGGAGCTGACACAAAGCAGGGAAGGGCTGATTTGCAGAGAGGAGAGCATTTGCTGAGAGCAAATGTCACACCACCATCTCCCAGCCACTTGCTTGGCAAATCTCTTTGGAGATGGGGGGAGGGAAGTGAAATCTCCACATTACAAGGATTTGTTGTATGAATGGGACCTTTTTACTTGGGTACAAAGAAGAACATAATCCTGGAAAGTGCAAGGACCCAGGGCTAATGATAAAGCAGGTATTTGGGTTGTACTCAGGCACTTGGAAATATGTGTTGGGGTGGCTCACAGCTGGGCTCTGGAGTGAGAAGCATCTAGATTTTGTGATGTGACATTGTCTTGGGCTGCAGTTTCATTTCCTGTAACTCACAGAATTGTTGGGTTCATTAAGAAATCTTACAATGCCTTTTTGTTTTTTTTTTTTGGTACTGGGGATTGAACTCAGGAGCACTCGACCACTGACCCACATCCCCAGCCCTATTTTGTATTTTATTTAGACACAGGGTCTCACTGAGTTGCTTAGTGCCTCGCTTTTGCTGAGGCTGGCTTTGATCCTCCTGCTTCAACCTCCCAAGCCGCTGGAATTACAGGCGTGCACCATGACACCCGGCTACAATGCAATTTTTTTTTAAAGATAAAATCAAACATATATGCATATATCATTCAAACAGAACGATTTTCATAATTTGTTTTGCTTCTTTTGGGTGCTGGGACTGAGACTCTCATGCATCCTTAGCATATGCTCTATCACTGAGTTACACCCCTGGCGCCATGGTTCACATTTTATTTATCTAATTAACGAGGAACCAGCAAGGTGCTATATATAGGCTGTTTAAAGGAGAACTGGATTTATAGAGGTTTACATTCTCCAGGGGACAAGATTCATGCGCACTGCCTTGGTTAGGAATCACATGCATCACCAAGAAGAGGAAGTGCCTATAATCCCTGCAACCCTGTGGGACCTGACACTGTCTTTACAGGATGGCATGACGGCTCCTGTGGAATCAGACAATGCCCAGAGTACACTAGACAACATCTAGAATTCCATCAAAGGGACACTAGGGAAGTTTTAGCCCATTTAAAACCTCTCATGATTGTTTTATTAAATGGGAAGATCCTAATAATCTCAAGATCATAATAATCTCCAAAATTTGTTCTTGATCACAAAATGATGGGTCTCATTAGGTTTGGTCTGAATACTTAGGGTGCAGCAAGAAAGTGTGTGACTCTATAGGCCTCCTCGAGACTATTTTCAAGTCTAGAGAGCTGTGTGACAGGCAGGCCCTGGATAAGCTCTTCTAAATGTTTGCATGAGTTTGAATTTTGGGTTATGGTTTTGATGCTGGAGATGAAA